CCGCGCCTCTGCGGGGAGGCTGACGCTGCGGTACGGGAGGGGCTTCTTCAGGTTAACGAGTTGGTACCAGCCAAAAGATGTTTGAAACCTAGCCTGCCAGATCCCTAGAAGGCTTTCCCTTCCTGCTTAACTGAGCTGATTTAAGTTTTTAATTCAGTGTTTCGTTTACAAATTATTTCATTCTCCTGCAAACGATAGCAATGTCCTGGTTATTGATAAAAAAAGCGGTAGTTCTACAAGCTCCTGAGCGTGGGGATGTTGCACAGACGCACACACAAACCACCATAGCGTATTTCTGTAAAGGGAGGAGAACAACATTATCCTGTACAGCTGCAAGGCCTGTCTGGTGCAGCTATTATGGTAAAAAGACATCTCTACCTGGAATCATTACACAAATTCAGAACCGTTTTCTAGGTCTTCATCAATGGCACTGACCGGTTCAAGGGCCTGGAAGTGCAAGGCGAAACCTTTCACTCGGGTCAGTGGTTTACAGTGGGCAGAGGCAGGTGGTCTTCAGGAGCCGACAGCCTTTGGATGATGTGCACCAGGGGAGGTGGAGCCCTCCTTGTCCTGCCAAGATGAGTGGGAAGATAAAAGAGAAAAAATTCTGGCCCTGCTGTGAAAGGGGGAGGTGTGGAAGACAGGCATGGATGAGACAGCACATAACAGCTTGCCATTCTTAAAGAAACAGAAATGGCTTAGTGCATTATGCTACCTAAAATATGCAAAATTTCCACAGGCTTCTGTGGGAATAAATAACCCTGTTCAGTTTTATTTGCCTAAAGAAAAGAAGCAGCAATTCAGCTGTAGTTTCTTGAAAAAATCCTCAACCAACTTAGAGGCACTTATTTTTTTTTTCATTAGAGATTGATATCTTGAGCAAGTTTATAGCTCATTGATTCATTCCTGTCATTTTGACAAAGGTCAAAGATATCTATTACCAGTCTGTTCACCACTTCTGGCCTAAATCCAGTCATTCTGCATCGCTTGTATAGTAATATAAAGTAGCCACAGAGGTTCAGCAAATCTAATCTGAAAACTTCATCTTTCTTCTCTTATTTTGTATCATATAGTAGCTTACGTTTTTCCTCATCAGCAAAGGCAAATTTCTGCATAACTTTATGAGAAGTGTCCACGCTCTTCTAAATGAACAAATGAAAGAACAAATGCCAGAGTGCTGCTTGGCAGCAAGAGCACAGGAGTGGCATGGCCCTTCAGGCTCTTTGGGACTTCATGCAAGTATCTCGAGTACCTTGTGTCACAGCAGTATGAGCTGTAAAAATCTAAAGGTACAAACTAAAGAATTCGTTCTTTCTAGCATGTTACATAATCCTGTGATGAGAAGCTGACATTTGCATGCAAAATCCAAGAAAGTTATGCTGTCCCTAGTTCCACTGCCACTGAAGTCAGCAAAAAAAAATCTCTCAGTCTGAAGTATAGGACTATGCAGAGATCTAACCACATTTGGCTTTAAATGCCTTTCCATGTTTACAATGGAAATATACCCGATTCCAGGCAGTATCTACTTCATATCTATCTCAAATCTGAAAACATTTTCATTATTTTGTCTACATGATGTTAAATTTCTTTTCTTGCATGCTTTTTAAATTTCCTGTCCTTGTATGCTTTCCAGGTTTTAAGACCCCGTAATGCAAAAACACTTTCAATGAACTGGAGAAATATGCTTATGCAATATAGCAGGTTATCAGCCTTGTCTTTGTCCAGTGAAAGTAAAAAATGATGTATCATGGGAAAATCTTTACGAAATATTCCTGGTGAGAGCTGGAAACATTGAATAGTCTCATAAAATGCTAATAGGAAACTGAAACTCAGCTTGAGGTGTACCAGTATTGCTGAGAAAAAGCCTCAACATTTTTTTTTCTAGAATATAATGCTGCAACTATCTTATCTTAGGATCTACAGAATTATCTGGATTCAAATGGGTATTTGTTGTTCAAGTCTCTTATTTGTAATGTTACAATTTTCTGTTGTTGTAATGACAGCATTTCTAATTAGATTGATAGGATTTTTTTCTGCTCGCTGTTCAGCTGTAGTTATAAAGCTGTGGCCAACATGGTACTGATAGGTAGTACAATGGGCTAGAGAGCTGTTACATACAAAGATCACTTCAGACATTAACGGAAAAACAGATGCATCTTTCACAACAGTGGCATGTAAAGAACTCAAGACTGCCAATAACTTTGTCAAGCAGACTTGTAACACTGTAGGAAAGAATGGAACCGGAAAAATATTTCAAAGGCTATCAGGATCATGAAATATATCACACAACAGGTAATTAATTATCTGTGTTTCCCATGCTCAGAGTGAAACAAGCTCCACTGCTCAGTTCAGCCAATTACCTGGAAAAGCAAGCTTCCGCACACAGACAACCAGCATAAAATTCAACAGCAGAGCAG